ATTTTTGTTTACAACAGTTGAGCCTCAGTTGCTTCCCCCTCATCCAGTCCATTACAGGCCCTGAATCAGGACGTCCACAACCTCGCCTGCATCTGATGAAAGAGACAGACCGAGCTGTGTGCCACCTGCATACTGATAACACCTGTGCAAAGATATTCATAAACGTATCTTCTTCTGCTTGACCAGTTTTTCACAGCTGCAACGGCTTTAACCTTAACGATATGTCCTTTTTGGCCTCTGCCTTGTGGTCTGTAAAAGGCACTGCAATCGCAAAAGCGAGCAAGGCGGTCAGCCCCACCTTGTTTTAGCATCATCTAATGGAGAGTGAATTCTATATTCTATCAAGCAAGCTACTGTGGGAAGCTATTGGGGCTATGCATGCACTAGGTGGAGCTCTCTGGCTGCCTTTTTGAACAGCAGCAAAATGGCCATTAAAGAACCTGATTACTTGATTCAGCCAAAGATAAGCAATGAATACTGGGATGGGACACCGTGACTCCAAGTTACTCAATGAAGCATTGAGGGAGAGCAGGATCATTCCCATTCACATGCATTCTGATATCAGTGTGCCTGTTGGCCGTGTCCGGACAGCTCAGTTGGTTGGCGCGTGGGGCTGATAATAATAATAATAGTAATAATAATAATAATAATAATAATAATAATAATAATATTTTTATTTATATCCCGCCCTCCCCAGCCGAAGCTGGGCTCAGAGTGGCTAACAACAGTAAAATACTACAACATTATAAAATCAGTTCATTATAAAATCAGTTCAAATCAAATTAGTGGCAACCATTGGGCTAGAGTTCTGTGAGGATTGCCAAAGGAGGGGGTCAGACTGTGCCTTGGCCAAAGATCTGGTGGAACCGTGTTTATGGAAGACAATCTTACTTGGCTATGAGTGATCACCGAAGAAGAAGAGGAAGAAGAAGGCTTCCAGATGGTCTTTTTAGTGAGCATTCATCCTGCTTTGTCTGCACAAAGTTTTTTTTGGAAAATATTGAGCATTTCCTTCTGATTTGCTAGTGGGGAGGTTGCATAACATTGCATCTAGCAATTGCTAGCCCACATTTTCAAGGCTATTTTCCCATTGGTTTCCTTACCACAATGAGGTTTTTTGTTTTGGAAGCTTGTTGGGTGCACAAGGACACCAAATGCACGTTAACTGCACAACCTGAATTTGCTGGTATGTGATCGAATTGCACCCACAGAACAACAACGGTCTGGGAGCAACCCAAGTGTATTTTGAAAATCATTTTTATTGATTTTCCAATAAAAACAGCCAGTCATCATATCCACATCATAATCCAATCCAATTAAAAACAATAAACTAAAATAAAAAAGCGACCAAATTGTAGTCCAAATTAATTTTTCTGGGCTCCCCATAGTCTGGACCTCTGAAGCATATCTCCAAATGTAAGTTTTAAAAATGAAATGTGCCAACTCCCTGGAAAAAGCTCTGTGCGATGTGTTTTTGGACTGAGAAGTGGAAGAACAAGCAGGGTTGGTAATGCTGTTGTCTTTTGACATTAGATAAGCGCTCCCCATAGATCTTCCCTGAAGCACCTGTTGGAGGGTGTTTTGTGACTGTATGTGTAGAAAATATTCTCCACAACCCTTAGATATAGCTGTGAATTTCCAGTCTTCTGGGGGAAGGGCCTCTCTCTCTGGATTTAAAAAAAGAATTGCTTTAGCTTTCCTGACCAACAGGTGAATAATTATTTGCCGTGTAGGTCAGACTGGCATAGTTCACAATGTTACGATACCCTGCTCTGGGAAATAAAGGGTTGCGTAGTCACTGCTAAACTGTCCGTGGTGACTGTGGAAGGAACCAGCTGTGCTTAAATATACTCCTGGAAGAAAAGAATGCATCAGTTCCCCACTGGCCTATAGACTTAAGGAGCAATTGCAAAAGGCAGAAATGCCGGTTAAATTCATCCACCTGGTGCTGGCTTGCAGCGGCATGCGGTGAATTCTTTTGTAGAGGAACAGTTAGGGCCAGAGGCGCCAGCTTGCGAGGGCAACGGGGGCAATGTCGTCGTGCCTATGACGTCTTGATGTCCTGATGTTGTCCGCATGCGCCTCTGGCCTCCCTCCCTCAGCTGGGCAGGAACTTCCTGGATTTTGTGAAGGAGGCATAGGGGAACATTTAGAGGACTAGCCTAGTCCCCCATGTCCACTGTCCACACGCCCCTGCTGGCTTGCTGGCTTGCAGTCTTCGCATCTGGAAAAGCTGGTTCTGCAGTTCTGTCTCTTGGTGTAGTGGTTAAGAGCGGTGGACTCGTAATCTGGTGAACCGGGTTCGATTCCCCGCTCCTCCACATGCAGCTGCTGGGTGACCTTGGGCTAGTCACACTTCTCTGAAGTCTCTCAGCCTCACTCACCTCTCAGAGTGTTTGATGTGGGGGAGGAAGGGAAAGGAGAATGTTAGCCGCTTTGAGACTCCTTAGGGTAGTGACAAAGCGGGATATCAAATCCAAAACTCTTCTTCTTCTCTTCTTGTCACACTCTAATGCAGCCTACATCTATATTGGTATTAGATTTGAAATTGTGTGTGTGTGATACCTCCCCCCCCACACTTCCTCCCAGTTTGCATACTCTTTCAGAAAGGGTGACTTAGGTATGTTCAGACTTTAGTGAGAACCAAGCCAATTTCCTCTTCCGTGGTTGTACAATCTGATCCAATCCAACTACCATTCGCATCAGCAAGTGCAACTAACTGTCAGGTATGATTGGAATCATATCCTTAGCATCTGGGGGGAAAAAACCACACGCTATAAATAAGTCAGGAAAAAAATGCTATGTAAAATCGCAAAGAAAAGTTTTCTGCTCTACAGCACCACCTGGTGTTGCATGTTTATAATGCATTCAAGATGCGTTCTGTGTGTGTGTGTGTGTGTGTGTGTGTGAAAACCCGGATGTATGGCAGCCCTGCAGAAGGGCCCAGAGAAGTCTCTTCCACTCCAGCCCTTTTAGCTGAGAATTTTTGGATGTACAGTGGTACCTCGGGTTACATACGCTTCAGGTTACAGACGCTTCAGGTTACAGACTCCGCTAACCCAGAAATAGTACCTCGGGTTAAGAACTTTGCTTCAGGATGAGAACAGAAATCGTGCTCTGGTGGTGCGGCGGCAGCAGCAGGAGGCCCCATTAGCTAAAGTGGTGCTTCAGGTTAAGAACAGTTTCAGGTTAAGAACGGACCTCCGGAACGAATTAAGTACTTAGCCCGAGGTACCACTGTATCTGTAACCTGAGACACTTTGCATGACAAGCACATACCTTTGCATTCAGCAGAGGCCCCTCCTCTATAGTGAATCCTCCGTTCACCAGGATGCCCATACCTTCCAACATTTGGGGGTGGGGGGAGATCCAAATTGGGACGCTCATTCTTTTGGTCAGCTACTCTGTTGTGAGGCAGCTGACTCTCACCCGAGCGTTGGACTGAAAGGTGGGACATAATGGGATCCAATCAGAAGCTGGGATGGCTTCTGTAATTCCAGAATGTCCCGCTTGAATAGGGTCGGTATGCATGCCTCTCCCCTTACTAGCTGTTGCTGGGCTCCTGTAGGTGTGCGTTGCTAAACTAGACCTGAATGCAACACTGCTCTCTCCATCGGCAGTTCCTAGCAACTCTGACAGTGGAGAAAGAAGAAAAAGCTGCTCTTGATGGCTCCCTAGGAACTGATCTCGAGAGAGAGAGCAAACATTCATGCCGGTGTCCCTGAAACAATGGCACCAACTGTCATGCCCCTGACAGCTCTCTTCGTCTCGAGAAAACAAAAGCAGTTGCTTAGGCATGTAGCTGTCAAGCACTGCACTAAAATAACGAAAATAATTCTGTAATATTCTGCACCTCAACGGAGTAGGGTGGCATGTCATGGCAGATTGCAGAAGCAATTAGGAAACACTGAACCATGAAGGGGTGGACGGTGTCTTCTCCCTTTTCTTTAATCTGTTCTGCCATCCAGGCAAGTCAGAGATAAAGCAAACGGCGAAGGTGTAGCTATTAATGGATATGTTCCCCTGCTTTGTTTGCCAGACGCGGTGTGTTTATTTTGCTCCAGGTGCGCTTGCAGCGCACTGGTGTTCTCAGCAAGAGGGGACATTGGTGTGAAAATTAAGTGTGAAAGACAGGTAGCTCGGGGAGAATGTCATGGCGCCTTTGCAGATGGGGCTGCTGTCGAGGCCCGTGCGGCCTACAAATAATTAGGTGTAGAAAGGTGTGTGTGTGTATGTGAGACAGAAAGGAAATATACCTCCCCACAGGTTTCAAACTGAACTGGAACAAAACAGCCATGAAATCTAGGACAATAACAATACTAAAAATAATTTACCATTCATACCCCACACATCTGGCTGGGCCTCTCCAGCCACTCTGGGCGGCTCCCAACAGAATATTAAAAACACGATAAAACATCAAACATTAAAAACTTCCCTAAACAGGGCTGCCTTCAGATGTCTTCTAAAAGTCAGATACAGTCATACCTCGGGTTACAGATGCTTCAGGTTGCGCGTCTTTGGGTTGCGCACCGCGCCGAACCTGGAAGGACCAGAATGGGGTACTTCCAGGTTTTGGTGCTCGCATATGTGCAGAAGTACTAAATCGCGCTTTGTGCATGCGCAGAAGTGCCGAATCGTGACCCATGCATGTGCAGACGCAATGCTGTGGGTTCGCAACCAGAGTGTCCACTGTAGTTGTTTCTTTCCTTGACATCTAATGAGAGGGCGTTCCACAGGGTGGGTGCCACTGCCAAGAATGCCCTTTGCCTGGTTCTGCCTCAGGATGAACGATGGGGGTGGAGATGCTCCTTCAGGTATACTGGGCTGAGGCCGTTTAGGACTTTAACGGTCAGCATCAACACTTTGAATTGTGCTCAGAAATGTACTGGGACAAATGTTCCAATAGCTCTGGGAATCAATCTGTTGGGTGCTCAAGCCCCAGGGAAAGCAAGGATCTTGGGCAGGAAGTGGGCAAGCTGAAGGCCAGGAACTTGGTGGTGCCGTTGCTTCAGTGATGAATTTATTTCTCACTTCTTACAAAATGCTTGACGTGACATAAGAAGAGCCCTGGGGGATCAGGCAAGTGGTCCATCTCGTTCAGTGTCCTGGTGGCCAACCAGGGGAGAGGTGAGCAGAGGGGCTTGCACCCATGTCATTTGCTTCAAAATTGAAATGTGCAGAGCTTGGCAGCCCTTGCTTTAGATTGGAATCTACTTTATATTTGGAAAGCTTGCTCACCAGCAGATTCCGCCTAGGAAACTTGACATTCATCACCATCATTCCCTGATTGTCAACTGTCAAGACTTTTGGAAATGGGCCCTGTTCAAATCCAGGGAAGACATAAACCACTCTGATGTTCTGAAGAGGGGACTTGAGACACGCTTCAGGCCTGACCCATGTGGAACCTCAAGGAAGGCAAACAACCTTAGTCCTGAACTAACCAAAGCCTCCTTGCTCCAGACGGCGAGACACACCATTACTCATGAGCAGGGCTGTCTTCAGTGCCTGCAAAACATCAGAGGCCGGGAAGAGTTTAGTGAATGTTTTATTGCCCGAGACGCTGAAAATTGAGACCATAAGTTATCCACTTTGACCAAGGCAGTGGAAAGCGCAAAGCTGGTGCATTGTGTCTATAAGACAGTGCAGCCATTTATCATGGCTGGTGATGGGTCAGCCTTGAAAGGTCGGGGGATTCTCTTCTGTTTGGATAAGTGCCTGAAATTGTAGCTGCTTCTCTGGGTGACTAGCGTGAACTGCTTTTCTGGATGTGTTGGCGTGAATAAGGTCTCCGGATTTGTACAATTTGGCTGCGATGTCAATGGAACACTGTTGTAATGTACTCCCAGCAATCCAACCACATCCAGCTTCTGCCTCCTTTGGCTTATCTCCAGCAGAGGCTGCTCCATCAGGATGAATGGGGCACTGGCCCACCAAGCTCATCCTACCTTCAACGAGCCCCACACCTGCCTGCCTTTTTTCATACACCCAATCCCAGGGGGTTGCATTGATACACATTAGGGGGCACATGAAATTCAGTTGTGGGGAAGGGCCATAGTTCAGTGGCAGAGGATTTCTTTTGCACCCAGAATGTCCCAGGTTTAAGCTCTGACCTCTCTAGGCTTGAATGACTCTCCACCTGAATCCCTGGATAGCAGCTGCTTGTCAATGTAGATGCTCCTGAGCCAGGTGGACCAAGAGACTGACGCAACATAAGACAGATTTCTGTATTCCTAGAGGAGCGTCTGAGGAACCATCTTGCCCTGAGGCTGAGGGCCACTCTGTCCAGCCCTCTGGGATTCTCCCCAAACTAAGCACCTCACCAGCTGTGCTGTTACCTCTCCTTGAGTGATTTTGCCTGATTTGTGATAATCCTCCTTGCTTAAATGGATGGAGAGATGGCGTGGGGTGTAGATATTAGATATTAATATTTTACAGCATGAAGCGACTGGATGCAAAAAAAAACTGGCTCCTTTTGCAATGAAACATTGTCCACACCCATTAGCTATTATTCAAAACTTTACTTGAAGAGCTTTCTCCAAAACAGAACAAAAACGTCAAAGATACATCCAGATAATTCCCTAAAACACATGCTTATCCAAGCATAGGCTCGGCTTCTTTTTAGAAATAACTTTAAACAGGATTGAGATCAAAACTCTGTCTCTCCCATATTCCAGCCCCCGTTACAGTCTGAGGCCGGGTGCTCCTGAAGAGCTTAATTACATCCTTAATCCCACAGAGTCCTGGGAAAAAGAGACTCCAGCTACCACCCTTCCATGACGGCAGGTTTGCAATTCAGTAGCCTCCCATGTGATTTATAGTTAAACACCTTGTCAGAGCTACCAGAGAACAACAGTTAATCACCAACCCAAGAAGAAGCTCAGAGATTTCTTTTTGCTTTTCTTTAGCTTCAGTGAAAAATGTCCCCATCCCCGGGTTCACGGTGTGCCCTTCCCTGGTTATCAGTACAGAGAAGAGGTGGGCTGCAGACAGGCAAATGAACAAAGCCCTGCTGAGCTGCGCCCACCATTGTGAGGTCTGAGGTTTTAATGATGCCTCCGCAGCTGTTGCCATTGGCTGTGAACACTTGTGATGTCACAAAAGCACATGCCAGCTGAGTGGGTATGAAGGAGTAAATGTCAGTATATGGAAACATCACCGCTGCAGACAGCCAGACTGTTGACATCACATGATGTGCCTATCTGTGGGAAAGAAGAATTCCCCAGGACGTTCACATGCTGGATAAGTCTTTGTGAAGAGTGTAACTTGAAACCTTCTGTGTGCGCATGTTCAGGAAGTTTGTCCGACGTGCTAGAAGAACTGAACTGAAAGGACGTGTTTTTCTCTAGTGCTGTAATGTCAGAAATAAACATCATGTAAATAGATTTCTGACTTATTTTCTTTCCCCTGCGGAAGCAGGAGGGAGGGGTTGTGCATTTTACCTACGCTTGGGAAAATGTCGCCTATCAAAATCTCCCTGGTCTGTCCGGGAAGTCAGCCAGAGGAGGTTACCGGTAAGCAAGCTCCGAGGACAGTGAGAGGGGCCAGCCTCTATGGAGGGGGCTTGCAAACCAACAGTAAAGCCAAGGGCAAAGCATTTTCCTTCCCTATCAGAACACAAGGACATTCAGCGCTGGGTGTTTTCCTGCCACAGGTAGGTGGACTGGCAGATGGAAGGAGGTGATCATTTAGTAGCAGGATGCTGTGGAGACATGAGAAGGCAAGTTCTCTAGTTGAGTGGGGTTGCAGCTTGAAGGCAACCAATATCCATGGTCAGAAGCTGGAGCAAGTTGGCAGGAGCTGGTGGGTAAAGGGCGATGGAGTTAGCATTTGGAAACTGGTAGCTGCTGCAAGCACGGGACACGGGTGGTGCTGTGGGTTAAACCTCAGCGCCTAGGACTTGCCGATCGCATGGTCGGCGGTTCGAATCCCCGCGGCGGGGTGCGCTCCCGTCGCTCGGTCCCAGCGCCTGCCAACCTAGCAGTTCGAAAGCACCCCCGGGTGCAAGTAGATAAATAGGGACCGCTTACCAGCGGGAAGGTAAACGGCGTTCTGTGTGCTGCGCTGGCTCACCAGATGCAGCTTGTCACACTGGCCACGTGACCTGGAAGTGTCTGCGGACAGCGCTGGCTCCCGGCCTATAGAGTGAGATGAGCGCACAACCCTAGAGTCTGGCAAGACTGGCCCGTACGGGCAGGGGTACCTTTACCTTTACCTAGCTGCTGCAAGGCTGAAACAGGCTGATGTTTGTGAAGGTAAGCTTGTTGAACTTCACCTTTGGAAGCTGTGTGGATATTTGTGGATTGAAGCTGGGGATGTATGCTTTAAGGAGAGGGCTGAGGACCAAGTTTAAGTGATCTGGTAGACTAACTGATTTAAATGGAGGGACTATATCCATGCCTTTATAGGGCTTCGCATGTGACCCATAACTTCCTTGGCCAGAAACTCTACTTTGCTCAAAGCTCCAGATCGCAGGACAACAGTCTGTAAAGTTTGTGAAAGAACTTAGATCAACTGATGTTTTCTCAAAACGCTCTCTCTTTCGCTAAAGCATCCCCCTCTCCAAAAAGCCCTCCATATATATTACAAACATTTCTGCCTCTCCAATCAGCTAGTTATTCAGAAGTTCCTCATTTCGCTCCATGAAACAGATTGTTCCTCTCTGAAGATTGCTGAAAAATGGTGGGTGATTATGGGCGGCTGGCTTGAATGAAAACACATTTTCATTTCAGTAATACGATAGCAAGTGAAAGTCAGCTGGATATAAAAATATATGTTTCTACTTAAGGGTGAGTGTTTCTTGGCGCCATTGATCATTTTGTACTCTTGCGAACTTTCATCCAGAGTCTCTCAGATTTACATTTTCTCTTAGGCATCAGTGAGTTCGATTTTTTTTAAAAAAGTTACCAGTGCTGTTATTGGTCAGGAAGAGATTGATGTTTGTGGGCATACAAACGAGAAGGAAATCTCTTGTCATTGCTGGCTGTCATCAGGAACTCATTCGTTGATCAAGGAATGCTTGAAAATGGTCCAGCGCCTTTGATCAAATTAAAGATAGATTGGATGGATGATTATAATATTACCAGATTAATGAATTGTATAAGCTTGATAAGAAAATTCGTTTTGCGATAGAAAAATCCAAATTGGAAACGGAATTGTTAGACACCAATGTTAAAAATCTCTCTAAAATGTACAATTTATTGTTGGAACGGCATACAAAGGATGAACAAGTTAAATCAGTGATGATTGATTGGGCAAGAGATGTTGGACACAATATAATGTTGGAAGATTGGGAAAGGTTGTGGAAGAAAGAGGTTGAGTTCACTGCATGCACTGTATTAAAAGAAAATATTATGAAAATGATGCATAGATGGTACTTAACCCCGGTGAAATTAGCAAAGATCTATCATACAAATGCTAATCTATGTTGGAAATGTAAAGAAAAAGAAGGTACTTTTTATCATATGTGGTGGACGTGCCCTAAGGTGAAAGACTTCTGGGAAAAGATTTATAATGAGTTGAAAAAAATGTTGAAAAATACATTTATTAAGAAACCAGAAGCCTTTCTACTTGGAATAATAGGACTGGAATTACTCCAAAAAGATGTTAGATTGTTTTTGTACAGCAGCAAGACTTTTATTAGCCAAAAACTGGAAATCGCAAGAAATACCAACAATAGAAGGTTGGCAGATGAAGATGTTGGATTTTTTGGAGCTGGCTGACCTGACTGGAAGAATCTGCAACCAGAAAGAAGAGGAGACACAAGAGGATTGGAAGAAATTTAAAGAATATTTAGCTAAATATTGTAATATAAGATAAATATAAAATTCTTGAAAGTAACAAACAGGGTTAGGGGTAGAATAAGAATATTGTGGTAGTAAATATTAATGATTAGAATAATAATAAAGGAGAAGAGGTTAGTTAATGAAAGGAGTTAATATTATTAGAAATATGAAATTGGAGAACTGTTATACAGGTGATATAATGAAATTCAGATAGAGGGGATTCTAGGAAGTCAGTTACCAATGTTAACACATTTAGGTATTTGAAGTAATAATTTTCTTATGTGCTTATTGTCTCTGTTGTGTGTTTTGTCATGTTTTTTCTTTTTTCTGTGTGAAAAATGCCTTCTCGGTAGTGGCACCCGCCCTGTGGAACGCCCTCCCACCAGATGTCAAAGAGAACAACTTTTAGAAGGCACCTGAAGGCAGCCCTGTTTAGGGAAGCGTTTAATGTTTGATGGATTATTGTACTTTGATATTTTGTTGGAAGCCGCCCAGAGTGGCTGGGGAAGCCCAGCCAGATGGGTGGGATATAAATAATAAATTATTATTATTATTATTGAAAATATACAGCCTGGGACTTAAAGCAGCCGTAATTAGCATTCACCAGGTTACCAGGTTATTTATTACATTTTTGTATGAGAAGTCCAGGGCTATGTATCCAGGTATAGCTTCACAACAACCCAAGGAAGTAGGTAAGGCTAGGAGTGACTGGTCTAAGATTTTCTAGTGAGCTTCATGGCTGAGTGGGGACCCGAACCTTTGACTCTCTGGTCTTAGCCCAAAGCTCTAGCCATTGTTGGTTTGCAAGCCCCCTCCATAGAGGCTGGCCCCTCTCACTGTCCTCGGAGCTTGCTTACCGGTAACCTCCTCTGGCTGATATCCAGTCAACCCCCCCCCCCATACCCAGGACACAGTCCGGCACCCGCCTAGTGGGCGAAAATTTGAATTTTTTTTTTTAATCTTTCAAATTTTTCAATTTTTCCCACGGCACACCAGGCAACATCTCGCGGCACACTAGTGTGCCGCGGAACAGTGGTTGAAAAACACTGTCCTATAGGGCGAAAAATACGGTATGTAAATCTTGTCACGTTGTAAGCCTGAAGGAGCGTCTCCACCCCCATCGTTCTGCCCGGACACTGAGGTCCAGCGCAGAGGGCCTTCTGGCGGTTCCCTCGCTGCAAGAAGCCAAGTTACAGGGAACCAGGCAGAGGGCCTTTTCGGTAGTGGCACCCGCCCTGTGGAACGCCCTCCCACCAGATGTCAAAGAGAAGAACAACTACCAGACTTTTAGAAGACATCTGAAGGCAGCCCTGTTTAGGGAAGCTTTTAATGTTTAACCGACTATTGTATTTTAATATTCTCTTGAAAGCCACCCAGAGTGGCTGGGGAAACCCAGCCAGATAAGCGGGGTAGAAGTAATAAATTATTATTATTATTAGCCGCCTTGAGCTTTGTTTTAACTCTGGAAAGGTGGCATACAAGTAAAATGATGAATGAATGATGAATGAATAGCATCCTTAGCTGAATCAAATTCCTCTCCCATTCCTAACCTAATGGCAACATTACTGCTGATCAGAAATGGCTTGTTTTGAAACAAATAGGTTTTGGGCATGTGGCAAGAAAGGCAAGCACTATTTGTTCATGCCTAATCTGCAAGGTGGGAGAAGGCTGTTGCAAGGATTCCAAAAGTAAGTGCCATTACTGTAAAAGAGCTCTTCTGGGTGGATACAAGATGGAGCAGCGTCTTCAGTGTTCATCAGCAGCTGATTGCCCGAGGCAGAAAATGCTCTCTCTTTGGAACATTTCCCGAGAAGCAGCCAGAGAGATGCTGCAGAAGTTTCCTTGCCCTCCTCTCCTGCTTATGTGCAAAGGACTCTGAAGTTGTTTTGCTCCATTTGAACTTGGCATAAGGGTTTTCGGCGGGGTGGGGGAGAGAATGAACTCATCCACACACGTTAAGAGTCACGGCAGCCTGATAATCCTCCTTTCCCAAGGCACAGTGATGAGATTAATCAAACAGCATAAGCCACCTTACACACACACACACACACACACACACACACACACCTTTTCTCATGCAATCCATGCTTTTAATTTCCCCAGTGTTCAGTAGCACACTGGCATTTTGGAGAGATAAGCTTACCTGGTTTTGCAAGGATACAATGCTGGGGAAAGGAGATCACACGATTATCAAGGAATCCTCAATA